GGACTTTCTCCAGCAGCTGGTGGTACTGGCGCAGCTCCAGGGTGACGCGGGCCAAGAGCCGCTTGTCATCCAGTGTCAGGACCATGTTGGGGACAGCGCCACCAAAGAACTTGCACACGAACATGCCAGCCCTGGGGACACAGGCCAAGCAGGCATGAGCACAGCCTGGGGACAGAGACAGCCCCTGCTACCCCAGGTGTCCCAGGACCTGTTGATGAAGTTCCCCAGGTTGTTTAGCAGCTCCGAGTTGTTCTTGAGCATGAGGTCGCTCCAGGAGAAGGCACTGTCCTGCCCTTCGGGCCGCACGTACAGCAGGTAGAAGCGCCAGATGTCCGCAGGGATCCCCGTGTCCTTGGCCATGTCCCCAAACACTCCCACCCCTCTGCTCTTGGAAAACTTCCCGTCCTCATAGTTCAGGTACTCTGAGGGGGGCAGGAGAGACCCCACCACGGGGCCCAGCATGGATCCGGCCCTCTTCCAGGCCGGGAACAGCCCCACAGCCCAGGGAGACGCTGTCAAAGCGCTCACAGCCTTGTGCTGAGCTCCAAGGGGTTTCCCAGTCTGGGAGGGGAAATGCAGTTCTGTGCCCAGGCGGGACAGACTGGGCTGTCCCCAGTACCGAGGGGAAAGCAGGGAAGTGCAGAGACCCCCATACCCTTGGTGACCCCCCAGTACCTGTGGCAATGAGGTGGTTCACCAGGGTGTAGTTGTCATCAGCACCCAGGAGGGAGCAGGGGAATATGACGCTGTGGAATGGGACGTTGTCTTTGGCCATGAAGTTGTAAAGCTCAACCTGATTGGGTGTGTGGGGGGGGTGTATCAGGGGACCCCGGTGTCCAGCTGTGACCCTACCTCCACCCTGCAGCAGCACACGGCTCCTACCTGCTGGGGGTTCTTCCACCACCTCTCCCACTGGTCGGTGTAGTTGGCCGTAATGGACAAGTACCCGATGGGAGCGTCGAACCAGACGTAAAAAACCTGCGGGGAGAGAGCCCCGTGAGAAGGGCCCCCCAAGGCAGGGCACCCGGGAGCGGACCCTGAAGCCGAGGGGCCCGGTGGGACCCACCTTGTCGCGGAAGGCATCAAGG